TTAGAACTGGTTAAGGACAGGCTATGGGGTACGTATTATATATATCTACACATACACATATATTTATATATATATACATTACCATTGTAAATATAGTATATATTTATATATATACTCATATATATATTTCTCCCTCTCTATATATACATACACACCACACACATACACACACACACTTCTACTGCCAAGCACAGAAAGTCAAAACTCGGCAAGGGTTCTTTTAGTGTTCATGAAAAAATAGATGTGTTAGTTGAGAGTGTCCTTAAGTTGCCAGGGGAAAGACAGGATGGATTCACAAAGGGAGATAATGTTTTTTTTTTTTTCTTTGTTTAACTCTTGAATTCGAAATAATTCAGACTTATGGAAAAGTTGCAAAAATAGTACAGACAATTCCCATATACTCTTCCCTCAGATTCCCCAAACATTTCACCCCATTTGTACTTTCCCTCTCTGTGGATATAATTTTTTTTTTTTTCTGAAATGTTTGAGAGAGGAAGGTAGAATGCAGGGCAGGGTGAAAGGTGGAAGGAGAGATGTGGGTTGGGAAGCTTTTTTTTTTTTTTTTTTTTTTTTAAACCTTCTAAGATGGAGTTTCGCTCTTGTCACCAAGGCTGGAGTGCAATGGCACAATCTCGGCTCACTCTAACCTCTGCCTTCTGAGTTCAAGTGATTCTCACCTTTAGTCCTCCGGATAGCTACAGGATTACAGGCGCCCACCACCATGCAAGCTAATTTTTTTATATTTTTAGTAGGGGTTTACCATGTGGTCAGGCTGGTCTTGAACTCCTGACCTCCTGATGATTCCACCTGCCTTGGCTACCAAAGTGCTACAGGATTACAGGCGTGAGCCACTGTACCCTGGCGATTGGGAGGCTTTTGCCGTAACCCAGGCGCTATGATGAGGCTGGACCTGGTTGGAAATGATGAGGAAGGTAGAAGTGGTTGGAGTCTGTGCATATTTTGAAAGGAGGGAGTTTAAATGGTTGGATGACAGAGAGAGAAAAAGAAGTTTTAAGGATGATGTCAAGGATTTTGGCCTGAGTAACTGGAAGACTAGAGATGCTGTTATTGGGATCGGGAAGACTATGGGAGGAGTGGGTTATAGTAGGGGGAATCAAAAGTGTGTTTTCCGCATGCTAAATTTGAGGTCAAAAAAGGGATGTCAAGTAATTGGCTGGGTGCATGGCTCACGCCTGTAATTCCAACACTTTGGGAGGCTGAGGCGGGCAAGATCACCTGGTCAAGAGTTGAGACTAGCCTGATAATTATTAAAATCGATGATTGATGTTTGCTAATTAATCATATTATTGCCTTCCTAATGCAGAGAGTGAACACTACCTGTGATGTTATTCCTAATATCTAGGGACAGAGAGCATGATTTTAGTTTAATACCACAGTAGGTATACACTCACCTGTGAGCACTAGTCCTAATATTAGAGAGGGGTAGAATGTGTACTGACTCCCCAACATAACAATGAATGAACATACCAGGTGATATTGTCCTGATATTCATGGAAGAAGCGTATGATATTACTCCCCAACCTCCAGGAGGGTACAGCTCTTCTGTGATATGGTTCCCTAGTATCTGGAGGGAGAGGATGATAATAATTCCAGTACTCGCAGGCTGTGTTCCTCCCACCCTGTGATGTTATTAATATCCTGGGAGAGGAAGATATGATTCCCCATGAGCGGAGCGCGTACCACCCAGCCTGGGATCTTGTTCCTAATATCATGGAGGAAGGCTGATGTTACTCCCAATATGGCAGAGGTGTACATCACCTGTGATATTCTTCTTAATATTCAAGGCTGAGAGGTTGATATTACTCCTAGTATCTCAGACACCGTACACCCCCGTGTGATACTCTTCCTGATATCTGGAAGGGGAGAAGATGGTATCCAATCCCCATATAGCAGGAGGTAGACACGTACTCTGTGATATCTTTCTTAGTATGCAGGAGAGAGGATAATATTATTCAATATTGCAGAAGATGTGCGTCCCCCGTGATATTGTCCTTAATATTCCAAAGGCACAGAAGACAATGTTACTCCCAATATCATGAAAGTGTACACCACAGTGATGTTGTTCCATGATCCAGGAGGGGAAGAGGACGATGCCGACACCAGCACCTTTGCCCTGCAAGTGCTCTCATCCTGCAACACCGACACCAGCTCAACCTGACATGGGACCAGAGGTGCTGGCTGGGGGTGTTCATTGCTTCTCTGTTCCTCCTTGCCAGACTCAGTAGAGGCTGAGACCGAGCAGCACTTGGGACTCAGAGTAGGTTTGTCCGTGGCTCAGGCTTCTCTGGTTATAGGCTGAAGCTTTAGATAATGGCAGGGGAGGGGGACAAGGAGTGAGAGTGCAGTGGGCATTGGATCGGCTGTCACCCTCTGTGGTGTGGGCCGGGACTTGAGACATCGCCTGAGGTGGGCTGAACCTCCGTCTCTCCTGACACTGGAGGCCCTGAGGTCCACATTTTCTTCCAATGTTCCCATCACTGACCCCACGCCTGGTCCCCAACCGAGATGGGGCATCCTTTCCCGCACTGGGACCCACATGTAGCTGTGAGTTCCTTTTCACTTGACCTGGAGAAGCTGCAGTTCACCTGTGCTCTGCCTCCAGAGATGGGAGGCCACACTGCCCTCAGCGGGTAGCAGGTTAGGCCTTAGGTTGCAGGGGCCTCAGCACCACAGGGTCCCTGAGATCTTCTCCTTCCTGAGAACCAGGGGGAAGGAAGGCTGTTGTAGGTTTTGCCTCAGGAGGGGGTGGTTCCACCCTCTGCCAAAGTCACTGGAGCAAAGGCACGTGGCTCTCCAGCTGCCCCGGAGGCCAGAGTGAAGTGGCTGGGAGGGCTGGCCAATCCGCCTCTGCTGGGTGGGGGGCGATTTCTTAGCTAATCTAGTGTAGTCAAGTCAGACATTTTGCCTCTAAATCCATATTTATTTATTTATTTAATTCTAAGGCTTTACAGATGAATAAGGAGGCAGTTTGTATTAATTATATTTTGCATGTAAGAGCTTGAAACAGAGGTCGAGTTTAAATCTGGAGTTTTCCCTTCCCAGTAATGCCTCCTTTCATCCCAGGTTTTCCAAGCAGGAAGTAAGCGTTTGCTCACCTCTGGGAGGGCTTTGGCTAAGAATCCACTGCAGCCAGCAGACACCAGTGGGCTGCTGGAGCAGTCTGGCCTTTGATAACCTTTAGGAACCATGTAAACTGGGTTTTCAGACCATCCACAGTAGAGAGGTAGCTTTAGGGAGCTAGGAAGCTTTCCCATCCTTCCTGCAGGGATGGTCCGTTCCCTCTGCGGAGCTGGGCACATGGAGTGCCACCCCTGCTCCTGTGCCGTCAGTGGCTTTACCAATTTTACTGCACCGCTTTTGAGCTGATCCACCAGCTCTGATTAGCTGTTGAATTCATAGATTCTATTACCCCACAGAAAGCCCAATATGCTGACAGAGATTACATTTGTAGTTGTGGTGCTGCATATTCATGGGTCAGTTGAAGGCTTTGATTCTTTCTAGGAAGGCATCTCAGGGTCACTGTTCCTGACCTGATCTCCTAAAACCTTGCTGTAGGTGAGGCGACAAAACAGGACAGGAGGTGATTTTGCTTAGGAGGAAGTCGGGCCTGGGCCTGCGTGTTCTCTCTCTGTCCCGTGGTGCCGGGTTAGAAGTACGTGCTCCAGGCCCCGGTTTGCGTTGCACATAATTCTAAAGAGGCTCATGGCAAGCTGGCGGGGACACAGAGGCAGGGATGGGGGGACCTGCCCCCAGTGGACCAAGGACTCACTGCCGGACTCTAATATGTCTAGTGTTTTGTGACTTGCAGAAATACCTCCATCTTATCTGGGCTGGATCACAGGAGACCCTGCTCGAAGGTGAAGAATGTTCTGGAACAATGCAAGACCTGCCCAGGCTGCCCCCTGGAGCCAGCGTCCTGGGGTCTCTGTGCGGCATCCAGCAACGTGAGCTTGCAGGACCCCGAGGACCCCTCCTTCTTCTTGGAAGCTGAGGACGACTGGAGGGACCCAGGGCCCTGGAGCTCACACTGCTGTGTTTCTGGGCGCCCCGGGTACAAGGCCAGCTTCCCATGGCCTGTCACAGTGGCACTGCCATGGCTGAGCAGCATGTTCTCGGCTTTAGCGACGAGGAGAACTGACTGAGTGCCTGGCACATGCCGGTGACCAAGCTAGCTCTTCACGGCCAAGTCCATTTCCTCGTGGACTGCCTGGTGGCTGGCCTCAACCACGTGCTTCATGGACAGAGCCTGGTGACCCTGAACATCCTGCAGTCTGTCCAGGATGCAGTGGTGGCCAGAGAGGACCAGAGGGTGTAATGGCCAACATGCACAGCCGTGGCTGTGAGAAGAGGACAGGCCGGACCAGGTGAGCAGCTGAAGTACTCGCCTTATGGCGGCTTAGGACCTGGGCCATTGGAGGAACCAGGCAGTGGTGCTGGCCAGTTTCAGGACCTGTGCCTGCATGCAAAGGTGCCAGCAGGCTGGCCTTACTACCTCCTGGGGGCCATGCAGCTGTTCTCGAGGCTGCCCTGCAGGAGTGTGGCGGGGCTTCACCTGTACTCCTGCAGCTGGGCCACCTCTGCACCCGCAGAAGTCCAGCCCAGCAGGGCAAGAGGCTACTATAGTGGGCCCTTCTGGTCACACCGTAGGAAATACGGCCATATGGAGAGTGAGTGCCCTAGTTCCTCTGTAGCCTTCTGGGAGCCCTCGGAGTCAGGGGCTCACCTGGGGTTTATGATTCAAGAAACAAGTGGTGGTTTTGCACCATCGAAAGTGCTGAGCCATGTCCAGCAGCAGATGTTGGCAAGCGCCCTGGAGACAGGTTCCCATGCCACAGACCAGGCCCTCCTGTGGCCTGCAGGCAGCCAGCTCTTCTGGTTTGCCCGAGACCATCCTGCCTTAGGCACTGAAATCCTGCATGGAATTCTAGACATAACCCTGGGATCAAGGCAGGCTCGGCTGCGCTGGGACTTCGGGCCCCACCATGAGCCAGGCTAGACACCAGTTCTTGTGCCCGTGTTATCTGCTTGGTATGTTGGCAGCCTGCGCACCTGTCATCCCACTTCACAGAGGACACGGGGCGGGTGATTGCCCAAAGCCGCAGAGCAGTTCATGCAAAAGCAGCTCGTTGTGCAGTGTGCCAGGCCCCACCCACAAATGGGGCTTGTGGGGTCCTCGGGTGTAGAGACTGAGCGTGGGAATGTAGACTTCAGGCCACAGAAACCACAAAAGGGTGAATGGCGTGATGGGCGAGACAGCACTTGGCCTAAGGTTAGGGGAAACCTCTTTAGTCTAGACCAGAGGTTGAGAGACATTTAGTCAAGTAATAGTTGGTGGAGGAGGCTGGTGGTGTAGCCTGTGTGAAGGCCTAGGGGGTGAGAGAGGTGAAATTGAGTGGTGGTGAGTGGAGGTGTGATGGAGTGAGTGGGGATGAGTGGGGGTGTGGCGGGGATGGAGTGGGGTGTGATGGGAGGTGTGAGCGGGTTGGAGTGGGGTGTGGTGGGGGTGAGTGAGCGGGAGTAGTAGCGAGGATGAGTGGGGTGGGGCGGGGATGAGTGGGTGTGATGGGGTGGGTGGCGGGAGAGTGAGGCGGGAGGTGTGAATGGGGTGGTGAGGCGGGAGTGGTAGCGGGGTTGAGTGGGGGTGTGGCGGGGGATGAGTGAGCAGGGCTTATGCCAGGAGAGTGCAAGTTAGGAAGGAGGAGTGAGTTGGAGTGCTGGATGGTGAAGCTCTTCTGAAGCTAAGCAGGGCCCTGGGGCCTCAGGCTGTGGCCCAGCCTTTTCGCAAGTTAGTCAAGTAATAGTTGGTGGAGGAGAGGCTGGTGGTGTAGCCTGTGTGAAGGCCTAGGGGTGAGAGAGTGGGGGTGAGTGAGCGGGAATGAGTGGGGTGTGAGTGGTGGTGAGTGAGTGGAGGTGTGATGGAGTGAGTGGGGATGAGTGGGGGGGTGTGAGCGGGGATGAGTGGGGTGTGATGGGGTGAGTGAGCGGGAGAGTGAGTGGGGTGTGAGTGGGGGTGAGTGAGCGGGAGTGGTAGCGGGGTTGAGTGGGGTGGGAGCGGGGATGAGTGAACAGGGCTTATGCAGGGAGGTGCAGAGTTGGGAGGGGGTGGGTTGGGTGCTGGATGGTGAGAAGCTCTTCTGGAGCGCTAAGCAGGGCCTGGGGCCTCAGGCTGTGGCTTGGCCTTTTCCCCAAGAGCACTGGGGAGCCATGGAGTGCTATCGAACAGTCACTGCAGACTGAGCAGTGAACGGACAGTAGGTGGGCAGGGCTGTCCGAAATCTAGGCCACAGAGAATAGATGAGGAAGTTGAGTCCAGGGAAATGGCTGAGACAAGGGATACTGTTGTGGGACCCTCTGTCTTGCAGCGCTTTGTCATGGCATAGTGAGACCACTCAGAGGTGCCTCCTGTGACCTGGACCAGAGCCCCAGGGGCTGTGACCAAACCTGCCCATTTCCAGCACAGGCCTGGCACCCACTCCTGGCCCTAGGAGGGATAAGATTTTGGAAAGGACCGTGTGAAGGGGCCCCGGTCCCACACATCTGCCCAAGGAGGGTTGGGGGGTTCAGACCCAGGCTTCTTCCCCAGGGACATTCTCTTACTGGAAGGAGACCTTCCAGGAACCCAGTGCCCCAGCCCCCACTGCAGCCTCCAGTGGCTCTTGGCACAATAGCCTGTGGTACCTCCTCCTACGAGGCCCTCCCCGGGGTGCTGGGGGATTCAGACTTGGAAATGCAGGCCAGGGAACGGGGATCATGCTTCCCTGTCTCCCCACCCTGCGCTGAACGATCGAGGAGACCAAGGGCGGGGCTGATACCCCACATGCTTCCTTGGGGTCATTTTTGAGTCACTTTCGGTAGTTTGTGTCCTTCTAAGAATTTGGCTGTTGTGTCTAGATGGTCTGGTTTGTTGGTGTACAATTGTTCGTAGTGTTTTCGTGGAATCCTTTTATTTCTGTCAGGTCGGCAATAATGTTTCCTTTTCATTTCTGATTTTAGAAACTTGGGTTTGTAATTTTTTATTTCTTCATTTTTATTAGAGATGGGGTCTCATCATGTTCCCCCGGGCTGGTCTTGAATGCTGGCCTCACGATCCTTCCACCTCAGCCTCACAAAGTGCTGGGATGACAGGCGTCAGCCATGGTGCTCAGTCTCTGATTTTAGTCATTTGTGTCCCGTCTTTCTTTCCTCGGTCAGTCTAGTGAACAATTTGTCAATTGTGTTATTTTCAAAAAACCCACCTTCGGTTCTGTTATCTCTTTTGTTTTTCCATTCTCTGTATTTTTACTTTCCATTTCCACTCTCACGTTTATTATTTTCTTCCTTTTATTCACTTTGGGTTTAGTTCTTTTTCTAGTTTCTCAAGGTGGAAGGTTAGGTTTTTGATTTGAGATTTTTCTTCTTTGAATGTAGACATTTACAGTTATAAATTTCCCTTTCAGCACTGCCTTAGCTGCATCTTGGAATTTTTGATACGTTGTGCTGTTTTTATTTTTAAAGACAGAGTTTTGCTCTATTGCCCAGGCTGGGGTGCAGTGGTGCAATCTTGGCTCACTGCAACTTCTACTCAGGTTAGAGCCATTCTCATGCCTCAGCCTCCCGAGTAGCTGGAATTACAGATGTGCACCACTCCACCCGGCTAATTTTTGTATTTTTTTTAAATATAGAGATGGGATTTCACCATGTTTCCCAGGCTGATCTCAAACTCCGGGACTCAAGCGATGCTCCTGCCTCGGCCTCCCACAGTGCTGGGATGAGAGGCGTGAGCCACCGCACTGGCCGGGGCTGTGCGTTTGTTTGCATTCTTCTCAAATTAGTTTTTGGTTTCCCTGCTGGTCTCTTTGACTCACTGGTTGTTTAGGAGTGTGTAGTTTTCACATATTTTTTGAATTTCCCACATTTCCTTCACTGTCGATTTCCAGTTTTGTGCCAGTACAGCTGAAGAACACCTCTGCTTTGGTCTCAGTCCTTCTCCATTCACTGAGGCTCGTTTTGTGGCCTGGCACATGGTCTGTCATGGGGAATGTCCCATGGGTGCTCGAGAGGACTGTGTATTCGGCTGTTGTTGGGTGGCGTGTGTGACAGATGTCCATTCGGCGTACCTGGTTTCCTATGTTAATCTCCGGAATGTTTCTGACACTAGAAAATCAGGCTTTGGGAGAGGCCAGTGAGCCTGTGGCTAGGGAGCCTGGTTGCATGAGAGAAGCATGTGTGGGAACGCCAGGGGCCAGCTTTGAATCCCATTCCCCCAACATGATGCCATGTGTGGCAGACGTGATGCTTGGCTTTGCTCTCTCAGGGTTCCATCTGTGACAGGGGCCACTTGTGCCCCTGGCCTCATCAGCTCAGGCTGAAGGCAGCCCTGATCCTGGCCAGAGGGTCTTTGTGAAGCAGAAATAGATGGCCTGGTGCAGGTGCCAAGCCCCTGCTGTTCACTCTGTGTCCATCCACAACCTCGGCCCTGGGAGTTGTAAAGAAGGCCGGCCTGTACCATGAGCATCTGCACCAAGATGTGCCCATGTCACAGTGTGCTTGGCGTCTGCCCTGGCACAGGTGCATGGCCTGTCTGCGCTCAGGCGCCCCGCCTATGGGGCCCAGGCTCACAGAGGTGTGAAGGAGGCAAGCAGGGGCCTCTGAGCCCAGCCAGCCTCGCTTCGATGCTGGGAGACTAACGTCTTCCATTTTGTCTTCTGCCCAGACCAGCTGCGGGCCGTCCAGTGGCTGTGCTACTTCTACAGCGCCGTCATGCCCAGCGAGGCCCAGTATGTCATCTACCACGATCTCCAGCTCTCCCTGGCCCGCAAGGTGGCCGACAAGGTGCTGGAGGGGCAGCTCCTGGAGACCATCAGTCAGCTGTACCTGTCCCTGGGCACGGAGCGGTAAGGGCTGGTTTTGCAGTGGTGGAGGTGGGGGCGGGCAGGGAGAAGGGCACAGGGAAGCTGGCCCAGGGCCCAGCAGCCCCTCTCCTTTTGATCATTTGGTGCTTTGGCATCAGATGCTTTGAGCTGGCCGGCCTGGGGTCATCCCAGGGCTGCTGCTGGCCCATGAGTCCCAGCTTGAGCCTCCCTTGTTGGGGCAAAGGTCACCTCAACCCCAGCAGAGGCAGTAGGTGCACTCTGGGCTGTTCTTCCTACTATGGTGGCTTTTGTCATCTTACCTGTGCCTGCCCCGAATCTTCACTCCTGGGCTTCGTCTGTCCCCTTAAATGTGACCACAGCAGCCACCTGTGGCTTCTCTCCCACAGAAGACAGAGCCAGTTGTGTCACCTGCTTCCCTGGGGCAGGGTTTCAAGGTCTCACATCCCATATTTGGCCTAGTCAGCTTCCCCCAAGCATCCTGACCTGGTGGGGTAACCATGGCCCTGGCCACCCCACCCATAGGGCCCAGTGACATTGCTGCAGTCCCAGCCCCTTGAGTGTTGGACTTACTGAGAGAGCAGAGAAGGAGCCAGATTCCATAGGGACCTGGGAGACTGACTGTAGTCTTGGCCTCAAGTTCACAGAAGGAAAATGGGACAGTGTGCTAGAGCCATGCTTCTCAAAGTGTAGTCCCTGGACCAGTAGAGCAGCATCCATGTCACCTAGGAGTTTGTGGCAAGTGGGAGTTCTAGGGCCTGCCCCAGGCCTGTGGAGCCGGAAGCTCTGGGGGCAGGGCCAGCAAGCTATAAGGACAGGCCTCCGGGTGACTGTGATGCCTGCACACCTTGAGAACCATCGACCTAGATAGCCTCTGAACACTAACGGCTCCTGGTGCGTCTGGAGAAGACACAGGCCATGACTGGGAGGCAGGGGAGATGGACTAGCACACTCCTCCTGCCACAGGGCAGCATGATGCTCGATTCCCTCAGAAGGATGTCCTTCATCTTTTCCATGCCGTGTGTGTTCACTCTGGCCATCCCAGCAGCCTGGGAAGGGCAGAACACTGCACACACAAGAGGGCCGTTCCCAGTCCCCACATGCCAGATTCATCTGTCATCAGACCCACGGGAGGAGGCAGACTGGTTCCAGGAGGATGAGAGCCCTTGTTCTGACACCTGTGTCTGATTCCAGTGATTCCAGGGCCTACAAATCCTCTCTGGACTACACCAAACGAAGTCTGGGGATTTTCATTGACCTCCAGAGGAAAGAGGAGGCACATGCCTGGCTGCAAGCAGGGAAGATCTATTACCTCCTGCGGCAGAGCGAGCTGGTGGACCTGTACATCCAGGTGAGTGGCAAGGGATGCAGGAGGACTCCTGTGCTGTTCACTCTCTGTCCATCCACCCATCCATTCACCCTTCCATCATCTATTTACCTGTTCATCCTTCCATCCATCCATCCATCATCCATCCGTCTGTCCTTTCATCCATCCATCATTCATCCATCCTTTTATCATCCATCTATTCACCCGTCTATCCATCCATTCACCTGTCCATCCACCCATCCGTTCATCCTTCCATCACCTATTTACCTGTTCATTCTTCTATCCATCCATCATCCATCCATCCATCATGCATCCACTCGCTTGCTCATCCTTCCATCCATCCATCCATTCACCTGTTCATCCATCCATCCCTTTATCATCCATTGATTCAGCCACCATCCGTCCATCTGTTCGTCCGTTCATCCTTCCATCATCCATCCATTCACCTGTTCATCCATCCATCATCCATCCATCATTCATCCACCTACCAATTGATCCTTCCATTCATCCATCCTCTCACCCATCCATCCATTCACCGTTCGTCCATCCACCCACCCACCAATCTACCTATTAATGCATCCCTCCATTCATCTATCTGTCCATTTGTTTATCCATACATTCGTCTGTCCACCATCTATCCATCCACATGTACATACATCATCTACCCTCCACCCATCCATACATTATCTACCCACCCATACATACACACATCATTCCACCCACCCACCCATCCATCCATTCATCCATCCATCCATCCAAGCATTCATCTATCCACACACCCTTCCATCCATCCATGTGTCTTCATCTCCTCATCCATTCATCCATCCATCCACTCATTCCTAAGCCACTGCTGAGCACCTGTTGTGTGCCTTTTCCCTCCCTCCAACTGGTTCCCTCACATCCTCCTCCGGTGGCCAGCATCTTCTCCCTGAGGGCAGAGGCGCGGCCCCTCACAGTGCACAGCACTTGCTGGTATACAGCACATCCTCAAATAATGTGACCACTCAGTTAACACACAGAAGAACTTGCTCCAAGCGACACGTGGCACATCTCCTTACAAAATGAATCTATCATAGTGTCTGTTTTCAGAGGCTTTCCGAAACACTGTGTGATCTGGTACAAATTGTGAAGCCCAGGAGCCTGGTGAAGCTTTCATTATTGAGCACCTGCTGTATACCTCCTTGAGCTGAGGAGAGGGATCAAGAGCTCATGGCCAAGAGGGGACCAGGCCCACCCACAAACACTGAAACACTGCTGATGTGGCAGGGATGTGACAACGCAGAAAGGAGACAGGGGCTGGGCTCCCAGCAATCTAGGGGCCACGGAGACTGGTTTGAGTGCAGGGGGAGTGGGCTAGGGCTACCCCTGGTGGTAGGATTCACAGGTGTCGGGCTCCTGGGCTGCAGCTGCTCAGTCACCTCCTGGCACTCAGGCGCATCAGTTCATTGTCCTCATGCCAGTGGTGGGGGCAGCCTCCATGCACAGGGTCTGAAAAATGCTCAGGTGTACCTGTAGTGTGTGGGAGAAAAGAGGCTGGCAAAGGTGCGCGTAGCCACGTTGCTAGGTGTGGGTCTGGAGCGAACTTCTGTCTCCTTTCAGGTGGCACAGAATGTGGACGTGCACACAGGCGACCCCAACCTGGGGCTGGAGCTGTTGGAGGCAGTTGGAGACATCTTCTTCAATGGGCCCTGGGAGCAGGAGGAAGGCATGCCCTTCTACCGAGTGAGCTGGCCTGTGGGCTGATGTGGGTGGGCCTCAGTGGGGCACCTGGTGGTCTGAGGCATATGACCATGCCGCTGCCCGGGAAAAACGCTCGGAGCCTGGACGTGACAATTGCTCTACCCTTGTACCTGATGACCTCAAGCAACCATGAGTGGGAAGTCCTGTCCCCATCTTCCAGATGAGGAAACTGAGGCTCAGAGAGGCACAGGGACATGTCAAAGGACACACAGCATATCAGTGGGAGGCCCAGGTCTGCATGTACCCCGAAGTGGGACGACTTCTCCTTTCCTCTGAGCTCACAGGGTGGCTCAGCCCTGGGCACAGATCAGTGTGGTGTTTCTAGAGCAGAGAGGAGGTTGGCTCCCCCCAGTCAGACCCCCAGTGCTCAGGTGGGAGAGGCTGGTTTGAGGCTGTCGGGAGTAGCTGGATGGGCCTCAGGTGACTCTTCAGCCCCCAACTTGGGTGTCTGAACTATGTGTTATCCCACAGCACAGAGCTGTGTCGAGGTGCAGGAGTAGCTGGGGTGTGGGAAGCTCCAAGCACATGTTTGAGCTCTGACGAGGACTCTGCGCAAGGTGGGTGCTGTGGGAAACCTGACCCCACCTGCCTGTGTGGTAGGACCAGGCCCTGCCCCTGGCAGTGACTACGGACAACCGCAGGGTGGAGCCGCAGCTACAGCTGTGCAGCAAGCTGGTGGCACTCCTGGTCACAATGGAGAAGCCACAGGAGGGCTTGGAGGTTGCCCACATGGTCCTAGCACTCAGCATCACTCTGGGTACGTCCCCTGAGCCCCCACCCTGCCAGGACCCACACTTTGCCAGAGCCCAGCCTCTGGGTCTGCAGGCCAGGAGCTGAAACAGCTGCTGCATTTTCCTGGTCTCCTGTCCAGGCAGGCAGATCTGCCCAACTGGCTTCCCCGTCCGGCTGTGAGGAACAGCCCGAGGTCTCTCACGCAGTGCAGAGTTCCCTGCCTGACTGAGCTCTGCTTCCTCTGCCTGTTCCCGCTGCTGACCACAAGGGCCGCCCAGTGTGCCCTCTGCCTTCTAGACATGCCAGGCATCTCGTTGGTCCCTGTATGTGCCAGGCTGAGTGGCATATTCCCTTTGTCTTGTGCCTTTCCCACCGTCATCAACCACACGGCTCTCTGGCTGATAAAATCCCAGTTCCCCTTCCAGCAGTCTGCCCCTTAAGGCCGGGCATCCCCTGGTGCTGTGCCAGGGTCGTCTGTCCCCCTCCAGAGACAGCGAACCCTAGGCAGGCCACATGTGCCAGTGCCTTGTGTCCTGTGGACCAGTACACAGTAGGTGTGCAGCTGACTTCCCAAGGTAGGGGGATCTGATCGTGACACACCCAGGAGGAGTCAGATGTCACATCTGTGGGTTGCCTGCAGCTGGGGTACCCGGGAGCACCTGAACTGCATGGGCTCCCCTGGTTAAAACCAGTGAGCAGAGGCAGGTGGCTATGTGTAGACACAGAGCTGGGCCATCCAGGTCCGACTTTGCCAAAGCCTCACAGTAGACAGGGGCAGGCCTTATTAATTCTGCTTTGCAGATGGGAAAGTGAGTCTGGGAACCCAGGAGGGAATGGCCAGAGCTGCCCAGGTGACCACAGGTGCCTGGAGGCAAGCCACGAGTGCTGCCTGGGGTCTGTATACCTGCTCCTGAGGGGCCTGTGCCCTGCCTGCCCCAGGGAGCCACGTCCTCACACCTGCCCCTTTGGCCTGCACCCCAGGGGACCGGCTGAATGAGCGCATGGCCTACCACCGGCTGGGCCATGACAAGCTGGCGGAGCACTTCTACCTCAAGACCCTGTAGCTCTGCAACTTGCCACTGGGGTTCGACGAGGAGACCCTCTACTACGTGAAGGTGTACCTGATGCTCCGTGACATCATCTTCTACGACCTGAAGGTGGGAGGGAGGGGCAGGGCTCGGGGTGTTCCCAGTCCCCTTGGAGTGGGATCTCCACCCAGCCCCGAGGCCTGGGTTCCAGCCTTCCTTAGAAATGGCCCAGTGGCCGCCTTCCTTAGAAAATGGCCCAGTGGCCGCCTGGGAGCTTCCCATGCCCGGCTGGGAGGAGCCAGCAAGGTTAGGGGCAGATACAATTCAGTCTCTTAAGATGGCCAGGCCCCCCACTTTCGTGAACTCAGTCTCAGCCAGGAGGCTGACACATGAGTGGGCAATGGTGGCCTCTGGGTTAAGAAGGAGGATTGTGAAGTCAGGGGAGGCTCTCCTGGAGGAGGTGACATCAGTTGAGTCTTGACAGTCAAGTGTCAAGGTGCATTTAACAAAGAAAATAGGTCGAGAAGGACATTTCGGAGGACAGCATCATCCTCACATTGAATCCACGTTGCAAGATCCAACCCAAATCCTGGCACCTCCTTCAGAAGCCTGCGCAGGGTGCCAGCCTGCACGGAGCAACTCCTTCCTGGAGTCCCGAGACACCTTGAATCTTCACATCACCCAGGAAGGGTGGGGTGGGACCAGTATCTTACCATTGTCTACAAACAGGAAACCCCCAGCTCAGGGCAGGTGCAGTGGGCGGGGCCCCAGCCAGCCAGGCTGAGGCCTCTGCTGGCCGGGTGTGTCTGAGGGGACGTGCTGTGCTCTGTCTGCCTCTAGCCTTGCAGGGCTGAGAGCTGGGACTGGCAGACTCAGACCTGGGCTGTCTCCACCCCTCTGCCCCGCAGGCACCGCCCTTCCTTAGCATCACACCGGCACCGCGCCAGTACTGGGCATGGGCTGAGGCCAGGGCACTCTGTGTCCAGGCCGAGATCTGAGGCCTTAGAACAATCCTGAGGAGTGGGGCAGCCCTAAGACTCCCGCTCCTGTATCCCCCACTGCAGGCCTACGGAGGCCCGACACATGCCTCAGCCCAGTGCTGGCGATACCTGGTGGTCAGATGTGTCCCCGTGGCCTCCTGTCCCGGGTCAAGATCACTGGATGTCAAAAAACTGCTGAACCGAGCTATTGTTTAGGCTTGTTTGGGACGGATGGGTTTTAGCAGGCTTGGAGTTGTTTAAGCGTTTACTCGCTTCTTGTCTAGGAGGAAAGGGAAAGGCGAGTAGTACTTGAGAGGTTAGTGTTTCATGGTTGGGGCCGGGATAGGGCTTTCTCTCACCCTCCTTCCCATGCACAGCCCTCTGGCCTCATCGTGAGTATGCTGTCAGCGCAGGCCAGGGGCCTTCACAGGGAGGCTCCTTGAATTCCCCCAAGGGCGGCTGTCTTTCCAAGGCTACACCCTCCTCCTTGGGGAGTAGGAGGCTCTGGACCCAGGGCCCAGAGGAGGGAGAAAAGCCGGCTGATGGGACCTGGAAGGCTGCAGAGAAGCAGGGGTAAATGGGCATCTTGCCAACTGCCTCTAAAATGGTGTCTCTTTGTAGTCTACATGAGAGCAGCCCTGAATAGGTGGATTAGGTGTCCTTGGCTCAGCCTGCCACTCAGTGCAGCTGCTGTACACACTACAGGCAGATGAAAATGCACACAGGCACAGGCACACACAGGTGCGCGCACACACAGGACACATGTGACACACAGGCACATGTAGAGACATATGCTTTGGCTGGCTCCTTCCTGTTTAGTTGGGAAGTCCCCACCCCTTCAGGAAGCCTTTGCCTTCACCCTGGCTGAGTCTGGGACTCCTGGGCTTCCTCTGCTATTGCCCTGACCACCCTGTGTGGTCAGTGTGTTCACTCCCACACCTCTCAGACTGGGAGCAAGGATGTTAGGCTCAGCCACGCACCCAGCACAGAGTCCAGTGTTCGGCTGGGCTGGGGGCATTGGATGAGCAGTGGCGGTGACTTGGGGCCTTCTCACGCCCCTGCTCTGTGTGTGGGGTGGGACAGTGAGGGAATGGACTGCTGCATCTTGGACTTTGTCATTGGGAGCCATCTTGAGATGGTAAAGAGGGACAGGCCAGGCATGGGTCTTAGAGAGGTCCCTTAGGTGACCCCCATGTGGAGGAGGAGCCTGGGGAGAAGCCGGGTGGGGGATGGGAGGGTCAAGGAGGAGGTCTGGGAGACGGCATCCCATCCCAGCGATGGTGAGTTTGAGCCAAAGATGCATTGACAATGAGAGTGGATGTCTGGGGAGTCACACTCCGTCAATATTTCAGGGAACATTGCCAGAGTGGACACCTGTGAGATGGTTTTCTACCTGGCCTGGCCTGAGGCCTGGAAATGGTCATATGGACAGGGGCCAGAAGGGAGCCTGGGTCACTTCAACACTGTGCCCTGCTGTGGCTTGAGCCACGGGTCCTGCATGGAACCTCTCAGAGCAGGCACGATCTGCCCTGACCTCAGCCCATGGGAGGCAGCCACTGCCTGCAGAGAGGGTGGCACTGGGGCAGAGGCTTGGGGTGAGGTGTAGGGACAGTCAGGAAGGCTTCCAGGGTATTTGTGGTTTCGCCCCACCTCCTGCAGCTGAGACCACAGCAGTGTCACAGGCTTCGGGGTTCATGGGGTGAGCTACATTGGCTGGACATGTGGAATGACCTGAGACAGGAATGGCTCTGGGAAGATGGGCTCCAGTCCCCCTTTTGCTGAGCATGGCCTGTCCCCTTCAGAACCCATTTGATGCAGTGCCGGGAGCCACAGCTGGCACTGGCAGCTGCCGCGGACTCCAAGCAACAAGAAGGCACAGCTGAAGATCTACACGCAGCTGGCCACCATCTCCCACAACTTCCTCCTGGACCGCGAGAAGTCGCTCTTCTACCAGAAGGCCAGGACCTTTGCCACCGAGCTCAACGTCCACAGGGTCAACCCTACCCTCTGCCACACTCAGCGTGGTGGGCTCCCTTGGTTGACCCCACAATTCTCGCTGAGGACAGCATCCAAGGGAGTGGGTATTGTGCAAGGAGGATGGTCTCCCTGCCTCCTGGTGTCTCCCATGGCTCATTTTCTGGGAAATGGAGGAATGAAAGCAGGGTTCATATAGCAATAAATTTTTTTGGTAATAACATACCGGTCCCCAGGGCATCCTTCCTGTGTGCTTCCTGGGCTGGGTCTAGGGGCCAGCTCCTTCCCCTTGTAAGCAGCCCTCTGATCTTGGGGATGAGAAGGACTCCTGAGTCCAACAGACCTGGGCCAGGTCAGCCATGAGCCTCAAGCCCCGGCGGCCAGAGGAGATGGTGGTGAACCCCTGGGCAGCTTCCCCTGCTCTCCTGCTCAGAGCTTTTACTGCAGGTCTCACTGCCCTTGCCTTTAACCTTCAGGCCACTATGCCCAAATGTGGGGGCTCCATTGAAGAAATAGAGGCACAGAGAGGTTAGGTGTCTGGCCCACCGTCACACAGCAGGTAGGGGTGGAAACGAAGAGCCCAGTACACTGACCACCACACCACCCTGCCAGCCTGCAGCGAGGCTGTGTCCCCATTAGACCCAAGGTCAGCTCCTGAGCTCGTGGTGTCAGGAGAGCCACAGGCCAGTGAGGGTGGCGACGGGATCCCCTCACTTAGTCTCCCCTGTTCTTGAGACTTGGTTGGGGCCGAGCCTGGCCAGTCCCACCTCTGGCCACTGGTCAGCCCTGCGGGAAGTGAGATGGTGGATTTCCACCAGTGCAGAGCTACCCAGTATTGAAAGCTCCATCTGGGCTGACCTCAGCCATCCCCACATGCCCTCCCCTTCTGGCCCCGGACCTCATCCCCCAGAGCCAGGAATCCCAGGTTTTCCTTCTTGGAATCTCTTGCCCCCAGGGAATACAGTTCACACGGTCTATTTGCCAGTTTACACAAGAAAACAGAGGTTCAGAGACTATGGGTGTCCCACGTGATTCTCACGTACACTGCACTCTCCCAGGCCCCTCTTTTAAACACTTCAAATGAGGTGACTTTCACATCGCATGCAACTATTTCAACGCGACAATGTGGTGGCATTTGTGCATTCACAGTCCTGTGCAACCACTCACGCCATCTAGTTTCAAAATGTATTCATCTCCCCAGAAGAAACCTCCCATCCTCAGCAAGTAGTTACCCTCCTTGGTATCCCCAAGCCCTGTTTAATGGAAGGGGAAACTGAGGCCCTGAGAGAGATCTACAGTGGGCGGGAGCTCTGATAATAAGGAATCAGGCACCCATCTGCTGGTTCAATCCTGGGTTGGTTTTCCACCCAGCAGAGGTGACAGAGCCAGGAGGTTCTGGGACCCCATGCTTGCAGCCAGAGCCCTACCCTGAGCCTCCCCAGCAGGGGGCAGCAGAGAGCTTTCCAGAACCGGCTGCGGGCTGGTGGGAAGCAGCGGGTCAGGAGCTGCTGACAAACTCACGAAGACCCCAGATCGCTGTCTCTGTGGGGTTGGGTTTGGGAATTGAGAGGAGGCTGCATGATTGGAAACTTGAAGACAGCACGCCTGGCTGGAGCAGCCGGAAGCTGGGCCATCACGTTTGAGTGAGGACACAGACCTCCTGCCCGCTGGGCCGGGCCTGCAGCCATTCTTCTCGGGGTGGGGGCCTGTAGGTCTGTTGCTCTTGGTCCCCGACCTGCCTCAGAGTCCGGGCTTTGGAACCTGCTCCCATCTCCACCCACTCCTGGCTGGTGCCAAGGAGGGGCCTGATCCTGGGATCCTGTTCTCTTGGGCAGAAGAGACTGGGGGACTAGAGGAGATGATGGGTCTTCAAGCCCCACATTCAAACCCCAGCCCACCACTGACAGTCTGGGGGTCGGGATGAGGGAGTTGATGTCTCTGAGCCCCAGTTTTGTCACCACTAAAATGAGGCCGACATACTGGTGCAGAGTGCCAGCTCCCGGCTAACAGAGACCTGTTTCCTACTGGCAATACTCCCTCTTACCCTAGGAACAGCTCCAACAACCACACACTAGGGACCACCAACCCAGGCCAACTTGTCAGAGGCACGTGAACCAGTTTTACCCATCTTGAATGGGGCTGGGTAAAGGGGAGGTTGAGACTCTGCTGGGTCGCATTCCAGGAGGCTAGGCATTCTTAGTCACAGGATGAGATAGGAGGTCGGCACAAGATACAGGTCATAAAGACCTTGCTGATAAAGCACGTTGCAGTAAAGTCCGCCAAAGCTCACCAAACCCAAGATGGCCACGAGAGTGACCTCTGATTCTCCTCTACTGCTCATTATATGCTAATTATAATGCATTAGCTGCTATAAGACACTCCCACCAGCGCTGCGACAGTTTACAGATGCCATGGCAACATCTGAGGTTACTCCTACGTGGTCTCAGAAGGGAGGGCATAAATTCTCAAGCCCTGCGAATTGCCCACCCCCTTTCCTGGAACACTCATGAATAGTCCAACCCTTGTTTAGCGTATGATCAAGAAATAACCATGAAAAAGGGCAACCAGCAGCCTTTGGGGCCACTCTGCCTATGGAGCAGCCATTCTTTTTTTTTTTTTTTTCTTTTTTTTTTTTTTTTTTTTTTTTTGAGATGGAGTCCCGCCTCTGGCTGAACTGGAATGCAGTGGCGTGATCTTGGCTCACTACAACCTCCACCTCCTGGGTTCAAGTGATTCTCCTGCCTCAGCCTTCCTAGTAGCTGGGATTACAGGCACCTGCCACCACGCCCAGTTAATGTTTTGTATTTTAGTGGCGATATATTTTGCCATGTTGGAACAGGCTGGTCTCGGAACTTCTCACCTCAGGTGATCCACCTGCCTCGCATCCCAGTTATAGGATTAAGCAGGAGTGAGCCACTACGCCTGGCCAGCAGTTACCTTCATTCCTTTCTTTCCCAACAAACCAAGCCACCATGACCCCTGAAACCTCCCCACCTTTCATTGTCCCAGAAATTTCTTTGGGTTTGATTGAATGAAAGCTTTGTATTAATGAGTGGATTTTGATGCGTGAGCGATTTACTTAGATAGTGCGGGCTGAGGTTCTGGGGGTGGAGAGAATGCATGGAAATGAGGGGCACAGATTTGGTGTGCAGAACCAATATCACAGACTGGGTGTCAAGCCACTGTCGTACTGGAAATAATATCATGCCTTCCCCACAAGTTATGAGGAACAATATCCAGAGGGGGGTGTGTACTCTTCTCCAGTAGTGGACTAGTATCATCATCTCTTCCCTTTAGATGACAGGAACGAAGTCACAGGGTGGGTGTACACCCTGCGGTGTTTTTGAAGCAATGTCATCTTCCTAGGTTTTACGATTCACATCACAGGAGGTGTGTACACCCCTTGTTATATTGGATGGAGTCTCATCCTCTTTCAACCTGTATCTTTAGAACAATATCCCATAGGGGTTGTATATCTCTTCAATATTGGTAGTAATACCATCTTCTTTCCTGACATAAGAAACAGTATCACAGAGGCACACCCCTGCAATGTTGGTAGTAATATCCTCTCTCCGCTGTGGTTATTAAGAACAAAATCCCAGGGTGGCTGTACGGTTCTTACGTTATTGGGAGTCATATCATCCATTCACCCCCGGATATCAGAACCATATCACAGTAGAGGTGTCCACCCTTCGATATTGTCAGCCATGTCATCCTCTTCCCGCCTGGATATTAGGAAAGATACTCCTGGGTTGGGGGGCGGTGTAACCCACTCGCGATATCGAAAGTAAAATCAGCCTCTTTTCCCGCTGAATATTAGGAACTATATCACAGGTGTGTGTGCACCTTCTGACATTGGGAGTACTATCAGCCTCCACCCCACTGCACATCAGAACAATGATAGGGCAGGTATTACACTTCGGTGATATTGAGAGCAATATTCTTGTCTCATCCTGTACATTAGAAACTACAGCACAGGGGTCTGTACACCTTCAGTATATTGGGATTCATGTTATCCCTCTCCCCACTGAATGTCAAAAATGATATCACAGAAGGGGTGTACACCCCCTGCGATATGGCCAGTAACACTGTTCCCTACCTTTGGATACTAGGAACAACATCAGAGAGGGTGTGCACACTCCCCTGCAATATTGGGCATAATGTTATCCCCTCTTCCCTGGATATTAGAAACGACATCCTGGAGGTGGGAGGTTGAGTACATTAAGAACAACATCACGGGGTGGGTTTACTCCCCCTGCGATATTGGGTGTAGTATCATCCTCTCTTGCCTAGGATATTGAGAATAATATCAGCAGAAGGTGCACACAGTCCCTGTGTTATTGGAAGTAATAGTGTCTTCCCACTCTAGATATAAGGAACAATATCCCAGGGTTTGTGTACATCCTCATGTATATTGGGCATATTGTCATCGTCACCCAACGTGGATATTGGGTGCAGTGTCTCAAGGGGGTGTATACCTCCTTTGATATTGGGAGTAATATCATCCCCTCCCCACAGGATCGTAGACTAAATATCAAGGGCTTTATAACTGCATGATTGGGCAGTAATACTATCCTATCCCCACCTGGATGTTAGAACTATATCACAGGCGGATGTACACTTTTGGCCTAGCTGGGGAGTCTTATCATCCTCTCCCATCTTGGATATTATGTAAAATATTACAACGAGGTGTACACCCGCTGAGATATTGAGAGTAATATTATGCTCTCCTCTTCGGGATATTAGGAATGTCGCAGAGTGTGTGCAACCTGCGATATTGGGAGTAATATCATTCTTCTCCCCTTGAATATAAGAAACAATATCACAGGAGGATGTACCCCTCCTGTGATACTGAGAGTCATACCATGTTGTTCGAATAATAGCATAGTGGGTGTGTAAACCCTGCGACATTGCCATTAGTATTATCTTCTCCATCCCAGGATATACAGAACAACATCACAAGGCATGTACACCCCTGTGATATGAGGGGTAATATCTTCTCTCCCCGGTTGGATGTGAGGGAAAATATCACAGTGGGAGGTCCAGGTCCCCTGCGCTATTGGGAGTAATATCATCCCCTCTCGCACTCCCGGATAGAAGGAACAAGATGATCGAAAGGATGTACACACACTGCGGTAGTTTCCACACATCATCTTCTATCCCTGGTTATTATGAAAACATCATAGAGGAATGTACACTTTCTGCGATATTGGGAGGAATATCATCTTCACTCCACCGCATATGAGGAACAAGTCTATTATTAATATTAATAAATATAATACAAATTAATGTTAATCATCGAGATTAATAATGACAATAAAGATACTAAATATTAATACTGATTAAAAATATTAACGATGAGTATTAATATTAACACTATTAATAAAATAAAGATATCAACAATTAATCTTAAATCAATACCGGGAGTGATGCTGGCAAAACGATAATATTAAAAAATTAGTAACATTAATAAATGATATAATTATTAAACGTAATTTGACATCATCTATTTAAATAATTGCATTCATATTAATGGTAAAATTTTAATTGATAGTATTACTGATAATTATTACAATCGATTCTTGACGTTTAATAATTAATTATATCACTGTTCCCTGAGCAATACACTGAAGGTGTACACCCGTCTGTGAAAGAGTTCATTATTTCCAGAGGGGGAGACGATATTACTCACAATATCTTAAACAGGCTATGAGTCCACCATGGCTCCCAACAGCCAAGGAGGGGAGAGGGGATGGCTATTGGACCCCACCTCATGGGCTCTACCTGTGCCTCAGCTCCCCACCTCTCGGCACCCTCCAATCTGTTCACAGACTGGAGACCCATCTATAAAAAAACATAAATCTGATCCAGTCATTCAAAACCCTTTGCTCACTTCAAGTACACGCAAGCCTTCGAGAATCCCTACTGGGCCTGGTTCTGACACCAGGTCCCACTGTGCTCCAGCCACCCAGGTCCTCCTGGGCCTCTGGATACGCTGGCCGCCGTGCGCGCCACATTCAGGCACAGTGGTGGGGCGAGAGCGCCACCCCAAAGGAATCCCCGGTCCCAATCCCTGCAACCTGGGACTGTTCCCTCATGCGGTGATAAAGGTGAATTCTGATGACTCCCAGGTGGGCTCCTAAGTGCCACGTAGACCTGGGTATCGGCAGATGAGGGGTGCAGGAGGCTGAAGGCCCTGGAGCAGGATGCTGCACACCCACATGGGAGGAGGCGGCGCCAGGGAACAAGGCGTGCAAGGCCCGCAGCTCTGGGCACCTGAATGGGCCACGAGGGACTCTCCTGGAGCAAACATCCGGTCTCGTCCATGGCTCCTGCCCTCCAGAGCTGTGGGAGAGGGAGTATTATTTTCCAGCCCCAGGTGTGTCGGTCAGGGTCACAGCGGTCACGTGGACACACACACAGGCACCTTCCTCAGCTCTGACCCAGAGGGAAATGCCATTTCCTCAGGAAAACACCGCTGGCTTTCTAGGACCGGCAAAGTTCTGCCATGGCCTCGGCACCTCATGTTCTTCTTCATAGAAATCACCCCGGTGTCTCTCCCTGCAGTTACCTCGTGGTTATTTGACTTGCAGTCCTCACTAGGCTGCAAATTCCATGAGGGGCAGGAACGTGGGCTGCTCACACCACTGCACCATCAGCAGACCTCGGCCGAGCCTGGAACAGCAGGCGCTCAAGAAATACTTGTCACTGAATGACATAAGCACAGTATTCTGAACCAGTCGCCTGTCCATCCGTCTGTCTGAAGTCAAGGGCTGATCCTGCAGGATTCCCTAACCGCGTCTCCATGGACTCAGCCAAGAGTAAAAGCATGAAGTGGGGGTGTGGACTTGAGACTGGGAGCCATATGAGAGTCTGTGCACGAAAGTTTAACACCCACTGGGAAATTTTCACTTTGAGTGCCTCGATGAATTAAAGCACTTTGTTGAATAAACACAGGCTTGATTAAACCATTCCAACCTATACTTCGCTTGGACAAGATTCTTTCTCCCAAAATAATTGGTTGATGTATTCAAAACTGAACACGGCTCTAGTTAGCTGGGCCACTTTGCATTGTGTAGTTTATATGGGGAGAGAAACAGGCAATGTGAATTCCTGTCTTTTGTGCTTAGAAGGACAGAGGACAGAAGCCCGTCAAGGGTCTAAAGAGCTCACAACTGCCTTCTTGAAGGGCTATGCAGAATTCTGAGGGTGTCACTGTTCCACCTGTACGGCTCTTCAAGCATCCAAGACTCAAGACACAAGGCTCAAGACCCGTCCTGTCACACACAAACACCCTTTAGAGGTATTAAAGCCCCGTGGGCCATTTCCAACTGAATCTTCTCGCAGCCCACCCTGAGGGAATTACTGTCACTCATTCAAAGAATGACATCAACCACTTAATGGCAAAAGCACTCATAGGCAAAACAGTAGCTTCAAGAGGCTGATTTGTGCCCGAGAGGTCTGGAGTTCTGCCTCCGCCAGGTTGTTGCTGTGTGGGCGCGGGAAATGCGCAGCTCTGACACCTGAGCCACGCCCGACCGTGCTCTCCATTGTAACGCAGTGAAAGCTGGGATGGAAGAACCCGCTTTGCTGGAGCTAGATACAGCTTTCCTGAACTCTCTCCTCATTACCTAGATGGCATCTGAAGCCTGAATTAGCCTCTAAAATAGCAAGTCATCTGTTGCCTGTGCAATTAGTCAAAGTAGCACTGACAAGAAAAAGCCGATCCCAAGCGTGGCCCTGTGTGGACAGCAGCTGTGAGCCGGCACTCTGTCAGGCAGAGCTCAGACCTCAGCCATTCTTACACATTAAATGTGACAGTTTGCAGATACAACTCCTGCAAGGGCACACACACGATCCGTTAGAAATTCCTCAAGGAGTCCCATGGGAGCGAGAGCCCAGGCTACAGTTCAAACATCACCGGCACGTTGCTCCGTGGGTGTAAAGAACTACAACAGGGCAGGCGGATAAGGTGGCGCTACAACGCACGGTAGCCACTGGATTCTCTGTGAGAACCACTTTGAGCTCTGTGAATCTGCAGGGAGGCCAAGCCTCATGACTGGCATTCTCACGGCAGCCGAGCTCTGCTGAAGTCGGTGGCCAGACAGGGCAGGGGGTGGGGTCCTGGCCCTGCTACAGCAGGCGACCCGCAGTGCAGCACAGCTGGCCGGGTTGTGCTGCGCCACGTGTGGGGCGAGGGTGGTACATGTGACATCTACAAGGTGCTAAAGGAGAGCTAAGCTAGCGATGGCCCGAACTCAACGGCATTCATGAACAGGGGACAAGCACGGGCCCAAGAAACTAGGAACGAGCCTGGGCCATTTCTGCAAGGCCAGCACAGCACCAGGAACACGACAAGGAGAAGCCCAGAGAGATGGCCCTCAGCTCGAGTAGGAGGCACAGGAGGCTGAACCCGGAACAGAACTGCTGCTTTCCCCGAGGTTCTGTGCCAAGCTGAACTAAGGAGTCTCCAACAGGGCTGGGAGTTTTTCACTGCAAACTCCGGAGGTGGTTTGACGTGAAGATCTAAGGTAAAGACAGGGTTGCTCTTTCAGAAGGCATACATGACAAGGTTTCAACATGTGGACCTTACTTAAGCGGCGTGGTTGCACTGCCCGCTCTGCAGCTGAGTGAGGACCTCTCCCGCAGCAAAGGCCTGTGTTCGACAGGTCCTCATGTCCAGCTTCCAGACCATAGAGGTGGGCCGCTTATCAGGGGACTGAGGGCTACTTATGTGGCTGGGCACCACGCCTATCACCGCAGGATCCACTCCCTCCTCATAGCACATGCTATGAAGCTGCCTGCCCAGGAGGACTTGATTCAGCTCTCTCAAGAACTCTCATCTCACCAGGAAGGCTGTGTTCCAGGCAGCGGTTCTGTGTGGACACTGCTGTCCTGGAGCTCTACGCACCACGCACTCAAACCCCTTCCTGCAGGCTCCCACAGCTGGCCCTGCAGCCTCGCTAGTCAATGCAGGCAGGAGAGGCAGGCTCCAGAGAAATGGTGGCTCACCGCTCCTAGTCTAGGTGGGATAGAAACACACCCCTAGAACTGAATATATCATCTCACTTTTAGTCAGTAAAGACAGATTCTCCCTAAGGCAGAGAAGCTAAAAAATTTACCCTGTTCTGGCCAGTGTGATCGACATAAAGTCAAGCTAATAAAGAGTGGGGGTGGGTGGAGAAGAGTAATAAGCCAACTGGCTCATTCTTATAACAGAAAAACAAATTGCTAAAAATAAATGAAAGAAAGCAATGGAGGAAACTGGGTTCTTTACCTGACAACAGCATTCAGGTTGGTGTCGCGCCTCTCAGGCTTATTTCTGTGCCCGGGACACAGCACCGTGGGCTGCACCACACAGGTGGATGTAGTTCTGGTGGCGGCCTCACGCCCTCGGCCAAGTGTCGCATGGGCTCGTAAGCCTGAAGCAGCAGGGCCAAGCGGTTAGCGGGGGTGCTGGGTGCTCACCTGCCAGCCCCAGGGCCTGCGCTGAGGTCCATGGAAGGACAGAAGGCCTGAATCCACCAGCGAAGCCGTTCATGCGGGTCAAGGGGCCGAGGGAGCTCTGGAGGTCAGGCGTGAGCAGGGACAGGCCTCAGCGACACAGGACTGCCTGGGCACAGCCCAGGTCCTCGTGAAAGGGAGGCCTGCAGGCACCACAGCAGGGTGGGGTGAGGCAGGCAGCAGAGCAGGTTGCAGGTGCAGTGGCGAAAGCTAGTCACGAGCTGGGACAGCTCAGCTCGCATCTCATCAGGTAAGGGAGGTCAGCGGCCAGGCAGGTTTTAAAGGCAAAGCCATTCTGTAGCTTCCTGCAGGCAGGCCACGATCAGTGGGATGGGCACAGCTGTAAGAACTACACCAAGTGACAGCTCTCATCGCAGGTGAGGCAGCCTGTCAGCCTCAGGCAGGGAAGGAGGCAGGCAGCTGGATGCGGCCACACTCAGCCCTACGCCACATCTCTGCTCACCGGCAGGAAGCCGCACACAAAGCCACACAGGCGAGCAAGAGCCTGAGTTGCTGCTCTGGGGTTCCACTGGGAAATGGGCTCTGGTGTCAGAAAGGGGAGCGGTTCTGGAGCCCATGTGCACCGGGTTTCCCCAGACTCCACCTCAAGGTGTTAACCAAGGTAACAGCAGGGACATGGTCTACACGCCCACTGTTCCCACCTCCAAGTGGCCTTCCACACAAAGTGTTATGATGTCATCCACTTGGCGGCAAAACCAACTGTGTATGGACTTGACGTGTCCTCTTCCTGTGAATATCCCCACATCTGCTGCAGAAATGCTACTGCTGGGATCGCAGGGCGGCCCACATCGCCCCAGGAGAGTTGGACAGTGAGCGCCCAGGCTCTGCAGCCCTGGTGCAACCTGGGCATCCTAACAGGAGTCCGTGGTGGGCCGAGGGGGCTTCCGACAGTGGGTGGAGATCTGTGGCAGGTGAGTTCACAGGAGGGTGGGTAGGAGGGTAAGGTGGATGGTCAGTGCTGGGCGACCATGAGGTGAGCTGTGAGCAGGGTCTCATGCCCGCACCCCATGGCATGGCCTCCACATCCACCCAGGCCCAGCACATGCCCAGTTCTTGGGCTGCTCTGTACAGGCTCTGCCTTGCAGGCTCTGGCCATGGCAGTTTGTGCAGGACTTCAATCCAAATGGCAGCCTGCTTGCCAGCCAGAAACACTCATCTGGGGATACTCGCTGGCCTGGTGCCCAGGATGTGGCCCCGTCAGCACCATCACGTGGGGGGCTCCTTATGCTTTTCAGACAGGTGATGTCACTCCTTTCCTGTAGAATACCCAAGGTCAGGACTGACCAAGAGTGGTCACGGGGAGCTGGCTGCTTCTCCACGAAGCCCTGGCTGGAAGCCAGAGGGTGTGGGTGACTTGGGGCCAGGAGGGGCCTGAGGCACACAAGAGGGCAGGTGGGGGAGGTCTCGGCTCCTTAACTCCACATTGAAATCTGTGGGAATGACCACATTGCTGCAAATCCTCTCTCCCCTCCTTCCCTATCGCTCCTCTTCTCCTTCCTTCAGTCTCCAAAAAAGGGGAGGGAAGCTTCAAGATGGGGGAGACCCTGCCCAGAAAAGCATAAAACTCTCAAGACTGAACACAGCCGAGCCCCTGGGTCCGTGGTGGGGCCACTATGACAAGGAATTACTCTCAATGCTGTGGTCACCGCCACCTTCGCGACACCTGACGGCAGTGTGACACCCACCTACTGTGTTTCTGATGTGACCTGATCAAGCTTACAGGACAGAGTAATGCACCAGCCAGCACTAGGGAATGAAAGGAGTCCAACCGAAACTCCCTGCAGCCATATCCTGAGAATGTGTAACACCTGCTCTGAGGTATTTCATTCATTCTGTTCTGCCTGGAAGACCCACTCACCAGCACCGCATAGATTCTGAGGGGCTGTGGCGTCAGCTAAGCATCAATGCTGGCAAGAAGGAAATCACGAGTGAGGATGAGGACACACGTGTCCAAAGAAAATGACGACTTCACCGTACGTATAGATCCGCCCAGGGCTTCTGAAGCACAACACGGCCACGTCCTGAGCCAGACTCCTACTATGGAGCCAGCCCTGTGCTTGGAGGGACTTTCCACAGTGTCCCTTGTCTCCAGCACCCAGAAGCTGAGGCATCCCTTCTCCCAGTTCTAACCAGAAACCTCCTGGGCCGGTGCAAACATCCTGAGGCACAATCATCCCAATGAGAATCACCGATTTACTGAACAACTGGAGCCATCCACAGACCCCAAACATAAATGCTGCCCAGGACCAGGCCATGAGTCATGGGGCACAGAGGGTGTGGCCGGACAGGGAAGAGCTGCTCCACATCACTCAGCCTCCGGCGGCTGCAGGACAGTGGCTGGAAGCGACCGGAGCCATCCACATCCAAGTCGCCTCACACCCTCATATCCTGAGTTAATCACCAGCTCCTGTTCTATGGCCAGACGAGCCCAGTTCAGACCAAATCCCAAACCTTCTCAGGCTTCATCCTGTTTTGCCGTCAATGTGGGACTCTGGGAGAACCCACAGCTGCCATGTTCACATCTCCGTCCTCTCCCTTCAGGCGTCACAGAGGGGACCCTCAGCACCATCCTGTCTCCCGCTCCTGAGCAGCTGCGTGCCTGCAGGGTGACCTCGATCGGCCGGCGTACTCACCCATCCACGAGACTAGAAGCCCTGGCCTCCCCAGGCAGCCTCATTCCTCGGAGCTCAGGATCTTAGAGACGCAATGAGGACACACACATACCCTTACCAAGGTGACTGTGCCTGGCCAACGGAAGCCTCAACTAACTACTGCGCTCCAGTTCTTTCTCTATTGTAATCAGTTAACTTCAGGCCCAGCGCGGTAGCTCATCATATAACCCCATGCTTTGAGAGGCCAAGACAAGGGGACTGCTTGAGCCCAGAAGTTTCAGACCAGCCTGGGCCTTTCAGGAGACCACGTTTCTGTAGAAATAAAAAAATTATTTTATTTCTACAGAATTAAACCCTGTAATTCTACAAAATTATTCTATTTCTACAGGCATGCACGTGTAGTCCCAGCTACTCAGGAGGCTGAGGTGGGAGGATCGCTTAAGCCTAGGAAGTGGAGGCTGCAGTGAATCGTGATTGCATCACTTCATTCCAGCCTCGGAAACAGAGTGAGGACCTGTCTCAAAAAAAAAAAAAAAAAAGAAAAACAAAACAAAAAAAAAAGAAAAATGAAATTGTTTAACCTAGCTTTGAGTAACTCGAATGAATGAAAAACTGAATTTAAAACAATCACGTAATAAATCACAGTCCCTCAAGGGGAAGTCAGAAATTAGGTGGAACTGATCATTTGTGGGGTGTTTGCCTCACGTATTTGATTTTCAAATTTTGACCCTACACATTGCACATATTTACAAACTGAAAAACAACAAATAGAAAGTTATTTATAGCAGAGGACCCTGGAATTAAGAGAATTTTTCAAGCCTGGAAGTGTATCACATACCACGAGACCTCTACTTTGTGTGGAAGCTTGAAAATAAAAAAGTCACAGGGCGCAACACCAGCTTTGTCCCTGTTCAGATGCTCAACTAACTGCAGTAGATTGCTCTCAAATTCACCCATTCTCTGAGTAAGATTCAATTGGAAGTAACAATTAGGAGAAAAAAAAGCTTCAATCCCTCCCATTGCTGCACACCCAACTTTCACAGACCCAAAATCCAGCTAAAGCTGGAGAAAGAGCAGCAGAAAGCCATCTTTGGAATCCCCTC